GAGAGGGGCTTCCTCCCTGCTGCATCAGAGAAACATGGAATGTGGGGTGCTGGTCTGGAGATGCACACCAAACCCTGGGTCAGAGCCAGGTAAAAATTCTGCAAACATCAAAAGCTCTGCAATCCACCTCTTAGTTTTGTTTTTTTTTTTGTTGATTATTTTGTGACAAAACAAAAAGTCATTTCTTTTGTGTCCATCTTTAACAGATCCCGACGCGAATACTGGGAAAACATCCGACCTGCATCTGGTCGTCCCAAGTGCCCGTCATTATCCACGCCGGAGAGCTGGGGAGTGACCAAGGGCCACAGTGACCTGCTGCAGCACAAAGAGGCAACGAGCACCCAGGAAATGAAGCAAGTCCTGGAGAAGCAGAAGAAGGCCAAATCTTCTGCATGAGCATCATGCAGTGAATAACTAGAAATGCCTCTGTCTCTTACGTCAACTTGACAGAGTTTCTCTGTTTAGTCCAGAAGTTCATAGAAGCACTTGTAACAGCAACGCTCCAGTAGAGGAGAGTCTTAAAATGACCCCTAAAACAATAAAATCTGAGTTTGTCACGAAATCTGAGAGCTCTGGGTCTGTGTTTCAATGAGTGTTCACGGATCAGTGCAACAAATGCGAGTCGTTTATTACTTCTACCGTATTTCACACATTTACTGATTCAGAAATTGACTCAATAACTTTCTAATACAAACTGAATTTATATATAATAAACACACAGAAAAACTCAAATCCTCACAGTTACAAGAGAATAACTTAACTCAATGCATAATGGGTCAAAGTCTAGATTTAAATCTATAACTTAGAATTTAAAGACCTCCATCAAATCTGACTAAACTGGAACTATTTTGCAAAGTAGAACTGCAGAGTAGAGTTTTTAGACTCTAGTTATGTCAAACTGGCTCAGATACTAACTAAAAGACACTGATATAAACTAGTGGCAGGTGGTTCTGCAAAGAATTGCCTCAAAGATGGTGGTTACGAATATAATTATAAGATTTGTCTTTTTGTCAGAATGCACTGCTTTGCTTATCACATTAAACCCCAATAAAAAAACGTTATTTGTGGCTGAAATGGGACGCACTGCATGTGTCAAAAAGTAATTTAAAAAAATCTAACAAACAGAAAACCACAGGCCAGCAGCAGAGAAGTGCACAGAAAACACGGAGAACCGTAATTAATCCGGACCAAACTAGACGCAGAAACGCATTCACATTGCTCTCATTCAGTTAAAAAGGGGAGGTGTTCAGTAACTTGTCTTTTACCAATCAGAGTGGCTCCTGCACAGACCCCTCCCCTGCTTCAGGGGGATTTAATGAGGCCCTCTGCAACTCTCTGGTGTCACTTCAGCTTCTCAAAGTCTGAGCAGTCAGGGGTCCACACAGCAGCTGGAGAATGGCACCAACAAAGAAGGTATGTGTGAAAAACAGGAATGCTTTCTGGGAAAGGACCCTGCTGTAGACTGAAGACGCAGAGTTTATTATTATTTTTGATTTAAGACTGATTAACCCAAACGACAGTTGGTATTTTACTAAGATGCTTCGTTTCAAGGAGGGTTTTATTTTTTCTTTTGCAACGGGTGGTTGTAGAGTCCTAATAAATCTTCTGCACAGCTGGCATACCAGGGTCACATTTCTCCAAAATGCCAACTGCTGCTGCAGAAATGAAATACCAGTGCAACTAATAAAAGTTTTATAAAGCCTTATAAACTTTATAAAGTTGCAGAGCTTCTGTCCTGGAAATGATTTATTTATTTATTTTTTTTTACTTTTTCTAAACAGTAGAATGGTTGGAATGAATATTTTTAAAGTGTCGAAAGCATTTGCTTTCTATTTTATTTTATTATTTTTTTTATTTAAGCCTGGCCTAAATTCTGTTCCTTATGAAGAGTCAATGTCTTGAGTCTGGTCTAGGAAGAGATAATCTTACATTAAACAGCAGGAATGACCAACGGAGAATCACTCCTGCAAGGAAGGGATAACATTAGACATTTTATTCGCTCTGCAGATTGCACTTCTTGACCTACTTGGATGCAGATTAATTTTGCAGAATCTAGATGTTGATAAAGTCTAACGTCCACGTCTCGATAAAAGCTTCTGGAGTCAGCGGGTACAAACTTATTTCACAAGCAGCTGTTTTCATGACTGATTGCGACTGTGACAAAGCGGAATGGATCAAAAGATTTCAGGACACAGGTTGTGCAACACATACTGGATTGTTGGAGATTAAAATCAGACGGTGTCCATAAAATTGTCCTGGAATGAGAACAGAAGTTATTTTTGGCTCCGCTGATTTATTTGCAGCCTGACTGATCCAATGTTTTACTGAAATCACTGAATTATTACAGGGTATCTTGGAGCGTCTTAATGCTGGGGAGATTGTGATCGGAGATGGAGGGTTCGTGTTTGCCCTGGAGAAGAGAGGATACGTCAAGGCTGGGCCCTGGACCCCTGAGGCTGCTGCAGAGCACCCAGAAGCTGGTGAGATTAAACTCTGCTATATATATATATATATATATATATATATATATATATGCAGCAATAATATATATATATTATTGCTGCATCTTGAATTATAAACTCCACACCAAATTAAGGTACTTTCTACAAAATGTTGAACTGTTACATTTTCTTCAGTTGGCATGCAGAACAGGAATCTGATCAGCTCTCCTGAAACAATGTGCAATTTCATTAAGACTTTTCAAACGTTGAAATTCTTAAAGTAAACGCTAAAGTTAAAAACTCAGTCAAGAAACACAAAGAAATCAAGAAGGCTCCTCAAATCAGTGGATTACTAAATCCTAACTAGGCACAATTGGGAGAACGCTCAACATTTTCTACAGTTTTATGAAATGGCATTAAAACAAATCCTTATATGCTTCCTGCATTTTTATTTTTCATTGCATCGTCTCTGGTTGACTTCCAGTGCGTCAGCTGCACAGGGAGTTTCTGCGGGCTGGAGCCAACGTCATGCAGACCTTCACCTTCTATGCCAGTGATGACAAGCTGGAGAACAGAGGCAACAAGCTCACCTTCACTGTAAGGCAAGAGATTATAACTCTTTGTGACACTTTATGGATTTGCATTTCATTTTTTATTTTTTTTTTTTAAATTGCCCTACAGGGAGCTCAGATCAACGAGGCCGCCTGCGATCTGGCCCGGGAGGTCGCCAACGAGGGCGACGCTCTGGTGGCCGGAGGAGTGTCCCAGACTCCATCCTACCTGAGCTGTAAGAGCGACAAGGAGGTGAAGACCATCTTCAAGAAACAACTGGACGTGTTCACTAAGAAGAACGTTGACTTCCTCATCGCTGAGGTAGAGATCAAGCTATTGAGGAGGCAAAATATTTCTTGAATGTGGAAGTAGCGTCTGCTGGATAGATGCTGACGACCATGCTGTGACTGAGAGCTTTGTGCTGCAGTACTTTGAGCATGTTGAAGAGGCCGTGTGGGCGGTGGAGGTCCTGAAGGGGTCGGGAAAGCCTGTGGCGGCCACTCTGTGCATCGGACCTGAGGGAGACATGCACGGCAACTCACCTGGAGAGTGTGCCGTCAAGCTCGTCAAAGCCGGTACGTAACGGAGTCTCTAACGAACCCCAGAATAATCGTTAAGTTTAAGTCTTAACACACATACACAGCTGGACTTAAAGCTTTAGGTCAATTAGGATTACCAAAATTATTTCACTTTACCAAGTGCCAGAATGATGAATGAGAGGATTTTAAATTGATTTTTTTTTTTTTGACATTTTGGAATAATGAAGTGTATATCTTAATTCATTTCATTGAATTAAATGATTTAGTAATCATTGATGATCTCATGCAGCAGAAAGAGGAAGTGAAAAATCTCACAAAATTGATAACACCATGAGAAAATATTGAAGAAACGGATCAAAACACCAACCAGAAAATAAAACTTTAGCGGCAAATGGGTTTTCTAAACGGACACTTCCAAATTGATTGGCCATACAAAAGCCCTGACCTCAGGCAGATAGAAAATTTGTGGTCAGAGCTGAGAAGGTGTGTTAAAAGCCAGACCCAGAAAAGAATGGGTCAAAACTCTAGAAAACTAATGTGAGAAATGTGTTAAATTATGCCCAGAAGATCTGAGTAAAGCTATACAGTTGGAAGCAGCTCTATCAAATATTAAGGGGATGCATGCAAACTTTGACTTGGTTAGAACATTATTTAAAAAAATAACTCTCTCTCCCTTTTTTTATCCTGGCATTTGGTAAGCAGAAATAATTTAAGCAATCCTAACTGAGAAAATAGGAAAAGCATGGACAAATGTACAATATTTATTTGTCTGTTTTCAGCTGTATTAGAAGAGCAAAAGGTGTAAAACAAATGTGAAATTCAAGTAGTGTCAGAAATGTGGATCTGTTGTATCTAAAGGTGTAGCAGTAGGAACTTTGTTTTATTAAATGTGGGTTATAAACATATTAAGGACTTGAAGCATTTGGTAATAGCACAATATCTTGTGACCAGAATAAACTTTTAATGGCATTTCTACCTAAAAGTAATGGCAAGGTTTTAGTTCACAGCATCGTTGTGTACTAGAATAAGGGTTTTCCTCTAACTTCTGCATGCTGTCCAGGGGCCCAGATTGTGGGAGTCAACTGCCACTTTGACCCCCTGACCTGTGTGAAGACTGTCAAGTTGATGAAGGAGGGAGTGGAAAAGGCCGGGCTGAAGGCTCACTACATGGTGCAGCCGCTGGCGTTCCATACTCCCGACTGCAACTGTCAGGGATTCATCGATCTGCCTGAATTCCCCTTTGGTAACGACAACCTGCTTCCACATAGGAAAAAGTGGAGAAAAGCGACTGTTGTAATTTAGCGTCTTATGTTTTCCCGTCTGTCTTTTCTTGTTTCTTAGCCCTGGAGCCCAGAATCCTGACCCGCTGGGACATGCACCAGTACGCCAGGGAGGCCTACAATGCTGGCATCCGCTACATCGGAGGCTGCTGTGGCTACGAGCCTTATCACATCAGGGCTGTGTCAGAGGAGCTGGCCCCAGAGAGGGGCTTCCTCCCTGCTGCATCAGAGAAACATGGAATGTGGGGTGCTGGTCTGGAGATGCACACCAAACCCTGGGTCAGAGCCAGGTAAGGAGCAACCATCCGTCTATTACCTTGGAAATGAACGCATTATGACTTCAATCACCAGTGTGATCCAGCTAATCTCCTCACTGTCCTTCAGAGCCCGCCGTGATTACTGGCAGAACCTGAACCCAGCCTCTGGCCGCCCTCTGTGTCCATCCATGTCGACCCCAGCCTCCTGGGGTGTTACCAGGGGCCATGCTGATCTCATGCAGCAAAAAGAGGCCACCTCCAAGGACCAACTCAAACAGCTGTTTGACAGGTCAAAGAACCACTGAGTGTTTCCCACCTGAAAGCAGATGCGAGTGAAGCAGCTGCACGAAGTAGCCAAGCACAAAGTGGTGGACAGTTTTGTATAAATCAAGCAGCAATTTCTAACTTGAGACTGCTCTGCTCTGTACATCGATTTCTTGGAGAAATTTGGCCAGTGTCTCAGGTTAGAAGTTGGCCACGTGTTGAAAAATGGACCTGTTTGTTTTACATTATCCTGGACCAGTTTGTCAAATGAAATAATATCTAATAAAACACAAATTGGTTACTTGTCTGTGTTGAATGAAGTTTTTGCTGTCTTACTACTTCCACCAGCTATACTAGATAAAAGATTTGCATACTTCAGATTGTAAGCATTAAAAATATTAAAACTCTGTTTAAGTATGATCAGATTAAATATATTCTTGTACTTTAGAAAGAGGAAACAAATTCATATGAATAAATATAATATTTTCCACCAGATAAATAATAATGTATTATTACAGGTTTTGGGTTGTTATAGGTCTTACTAGATTTCATTCCTCTGTAGTTCACATCTATCAGTCATACATTTTCAGATTAACTCCAAATCAGCCTAAGCTTTCTGAAAAGAATTTTCTTAAATATGGAACAGCTAAAAATTAACACTTTTCCGCTGCTGAAAAAATAACATAACTCAAACTAGTCAACCCTCACACAAAAGTAACATTGAATGAGCTAATACACTGATGATTTTCCAGATGGAGAATAACTTTTGCTAATAAAGAAAATTCTTTTAAATCAAGATTTTCACTTCCAGTTTGCCTGATATTAACATCTTATCTGGAATATTTTAATGTACTATGAGTAAAAATTAAAAAGAGTGAGGGGGAGAGAGATGTAGTTGGCGCACTAAACATGTACAAGTTCTTGAGCATTCGTGCAGTGATGCATCTTGACCTATAAAGGATCTCTGATACGGTCCTTGTTACTGATAGGACAGGTTCGGCTGGTCGTATGACAACGTTATCTTTTCTGCAAAGGTAGGTTGAAATGAAAGCTTCTGTTTTTTCTAGCTTGTCTTAACGTTTAACATTATAAAAAGACTCAGTAATCTTTTTTTTTTCTTTTTTTTTAGTATAAATCTTAGCGGCCTTACTGAAGCTTGTCTGGTTTTACCTCATTCTGGATGTCGGTCTTGTATTCGTCTGGGATATTCTTCCATAATATGAAGGCTGCATTATTATGGGCTGGCTGTTTGACCAAGCAGGACATCCCCTGACAACAACGGCTATCTAAACGGTACAAATGTAGCTAACGTTTATTCAAGTTATCTGTTTAAAATTTGATAATTTCTGAACTGTGCTAAGCAGCCGTCCCGCATCATTACCTCCTTAATCTTCATATTTTCTTTTCTTTGAACAAATGATAGACCACTTGTTTTTTTCTAGAAAGGACATGTTTTTTTTGTCAAGAACAACAGTGCCCTCTTGTGGTGGGTTTTTGTTGCTACAGGAGACGTTTTACACCCGGAAGTAAACCTTGAGGTCGTCATGGGGAGCAAAGTCAGCTCCAAAATGGCAGCTCCCACTGCTAGAGTAATTCAGGTAAAGTTGCTGAAGAAATTTGAGTCGTTCAACCTCTCGTTTGGTTTGTTGCAGTTTTAGTATATGGTCAAGTGGTCAAAAATAATTCGGGATGTTTTTGACTTATTTTAGTGAGGGCTATTGGCTGAAATACCTCTCGTACCCTTGTTGATGTCCTTGTTAAACCGAACAACTCGTAGTCGTGTCTTGTGTTTTGCTCTGCTGCAACAGTATATTTCCAGTAATTAAAATGTGTTTCAGGTCAACTGATAATTTAGTTGTTTTTTTTTTGCTATATTATGGCCTGTTACAAGTTAGATAGGATTGAATAGTTGCACCTCAACGCTTTGCAACAGTGGCGCCCCCAGAAAATGTGCATAGGGGTGACCAAATTTATCTTCCATTTGGTAACTCAGGTGGAGTTCAGCCTGCGGCTGTGTATTGCATGCTCCTTCACGCTTTTTTATTATTAAAATGACTATGCATACAACATATTTACCTCAGTTTGGAGAAACACAAAGGTTTTAGAAAACAGACGTTTCATACTGTTATTTCAGTTATCTTTAATTTGCCTGTTGATATGTCTTAGCAAAAATATCCACAAAACCTATAAAGACTGATTCCATTTGCTCAGTTTGATTCAAGACAACCAAGTTAATTAGGATCTCGTTACTCTGTGTCTTTAAAGTGTATATTGATTAACTTGAGGTGGTTGCAGTTGTATAGTTTGGTAAATACAGACTATTTTTCTCACAAAACACCATGCTTTTTATTTTAAAGCATGGTGTGGAAGCCTGTCTTACATTATAACAAATGTTCCCTTGAGAAAATCTCAATGCATATTAATGACTGGAATGATTGATTCCTTATGAAATGACTCCTTATCTGTGTTTTGATGTTTTTGTACAATTGTATTAGAAATTTAATATTCTGTAGGCTAACCAGATATCCAAACTTCAGCATTAGATCAATTACAGATGTATCCATTAAGCATTTCCTGGCTTATTTTGTTTGTTTGTTGTTGTTGCTTTTTCTTAGTGCCATAACACACACAAAAGGGGAAAAAGGGACGAAAATGATCATTATTTTAGTTTTTAAAACCAATTCATTTAATGATATACATCATTTGAATATATGCATCTAAATCAGCTGTGAAAACTCAAGAAATATCTTTATTTTCATTTTTAGCCATACAGGTGAGCTTGATACTAAAAGGCCTCAAAATGATTTTTTTAAAGCAATAAATGATTTGGGTTATTATGTGTGTCTTTGCTCAGGCTGTTCGGCCGCATGCTCCTTTGATCAAGTTCCCAAACAGACAGGACATACCAAGGCCTAATGGTAAGCCTGTTTATAAAAAATGTGTGAGATTTAAACAGAATCAACCGGCAGAGTATGTGCCAAAAGCTTATGTCTTTAGTGATTAAAACCAGTAAGAAATCAGATCTGGTTTATTTTAGCAGCATGAGTTTTTGTGGGAAGCTGGAGAAAACACTCTAACTTTCCTGCAGTTGTTAAAATTTAGGATAGTTTTGCACGAGATTTTCTATTCATGCAGAGAATGAGAAAAGATAAGGACATTTATTTAACAAAAACTGAGTTCAGTATGTGGCTTTCTTTGAAAAAAGCTTCAGCACAGGGGCAGATGCAAACAAAACTCAGCCCTGCAGAAGATGTTCACCAACACCAGCTGTCATATGCGTACTTTAAGAACAGGTTTGAAACACTAAGGAATAGTTTTGGCTGTAAAGTTCAGACAAATGAAGGTGTAGTTGTAGTATCTGATGTCAAAATGACATGGAACCAGCTCTAAAGTTGTTGGGAAGAGGCTTCCTTCCCTTCAGGCCACCTGTCCTTGACTTCAGGAGCTAAACTATTACAAGAGCAAAATCTATGGCAAAATGTTTAGCTCTTTGTTTAACCGTGCCTTATCTGATAAAAGGCTGATCCAGTTGTCACAATCTTGACCTTCAGCACACTCAACTTAAAAAAAAAAAAAACCAGAAACATCTCCAGGCACACTTGTATTTGGTTCTGAGGAAATGTTTCCTGATAATTCTACGTGCTCCGATGTATTTAACTCAATGTAGTCATTTACTGGCAGCATTAAATGAAATGATTTCCTGCTGTACTCTGTCTTTCGCCCTTGTGTTTGTTCTAGTCCAAGAGGCATTGAAACTGCTAGGTCTTAACGTTCCACAACACAACGCCCCCAGTTCAGCCTCAACGTCGTCTAGACCTCAAGTACCTTTGACTCCCAGCCTGGGAACGCCGGACTCACTGGCCTCTGTTCAGCAGCTGCCCGCCAGGTACCGCAGGAGACCGTTAACTCTGGATGAAATGGACTACATCCAGGTGAGGGGCGCAGCCTACCATAGAAGTATGGCAAATTGCTTTTTTTTTTTTCTTCTTCTCATTTTAAACACTGAATTGTAATTTCTCTTTGCCTCAGCGTGGTGGACCGGAGTGATCCGAAACAATTCATTCTCTGCAGCCAAAGGAAGACGAGTCTTTTTATCTCATCAGCACAACCCCAATGCTGTGAGATTCATAGGATATATTACATAAATCCTGTTGCAATGTACATAATGTTTATGTTAAATGATTACAATGCATTTTAAGTTCACACTAAAGGATAGTTTCATTGCAATACACAAAAAAAAGCCATAATTTTTTTTCTTCAATAAAATTGAACCATAACGGCAGTAGGGAACTGCCGTTATGGTTTTAAATGATCATTTAAATTTGATGGAGCTACACATGAACCGTAACTATCCTCAAATCCAAGTCAACAGAATAAAATGACATCTGGTTTTATTTTAAAGCAGGGGGAAAAAAAAAAGTGGTTATAAAAATTCTTGAAACTGTTTTGTTGTGAACCACTGGATTAAACTGATTATGATGATTTGGTTTGTTGTGAAAATTTCTTTTTAAACACCACGGGCATCCGAGAAATATACGAAGCATTAGTTGAAAGAAGAGGCCATTGCTGCTGATCAGATGAACAACATTTAATTTGCTCCTCGGGTATTTTATTGTCGATACCGTTGCTGGCATGCTTTAAATGTTAAAAACATTCACAACACTAATATTCCTATGTCAGTGCTTAACACTGGCCACCATTAATGTTCTCCAAAATAGAGTCCAGTGAGTTGTTCATTACCCAGATGAATGTTGGCACAATGTAGTACAGACATGACAGGTGAGAAGACACTCCGCCTACGGTCTCCGCTTTATTTTCTGCCAGAGCTGCATGATTTCACCTCGAAGTGACACTCAGCCAGACAGATCAGAGGAAATTATTCTGCATTCACAAAACAATACCAGCTCCTAAACGCATGAACTAAGAGTAATTCATGGATTTACAAAAATAACTTTGAATGTTCAAAACCCTAATATCAAATACTACCAATGGACTTGATTAACAAAGTGCAGTATATCCATTAAACACAGCAACAACAAAACGCTCGGTCACAAATGGCCACAACACTAGAAGAAACACAGGAATGCGCGGGTTAATCATCATTTTCAGATATTCGTCCTACGTGTGTTGCTCTTGATATAAGCAGCGCTCCCCCTTCTCATCCCCCCTTTTTCCCATAAACTGGAACCTTTTTTGTGCAAACGTGAGACTCGACACTGCACTCATCACGAAAGCGATCTGTGCTGCGGACTAAATCGTTCGTCAATCGTTCTGCTCTTCTATTTCCTCAAAAGCCGGGAGGAAGTCGGCGATGGTGTCCACCACGTAGTCAGGCACGTAGCTGTGGTTGGTGGTCAGGTCACTGCTCCTGTATTCCTGGGCCTCCTCGATCTGAGACACGCCGGTGAGGGTGAGCATGGTGTCCAGGCCGCAGTTGGACCCGAACAGCATATCGGTCTCCAGCCGGTCCCCGACCATCAGGCACTGGGCGGGATCTATGCCGCTGAACTGGCTGGAGATGCACTCGAACATGAAGCGGCTCGGCTTGCCGATCACAGTCGCTTTACGGCCCGACGCCACTTCCAGGGCTGCAGTGAGGGAACCAGAACCTACAGGGAGCAAAACATCAAAAGCAGAAAGAGGCTCCAAGTGTTACGACACAGATTTACACAAGTGTTCATATCACTGATGTTAAATGTGTGAAGAAATTCACATATAAAGTCAAGTAATTCATAAAATTTATCCGTGTGTAATTTAAATAATCCGCATGGGAGTAAAGGTCAGATACAATTGTACTTTTGACTCTCAAGCAAAACACTGATAGAAAATTAACGCTGCACGTCAACGGGAATGCACTATTCCTAAGGTGGCAGCATGATGCTGTGGTCATCCGGTACGGCTATTATTGGGTAAAAAAATAATAATAATGTGTGTAAGCCCGTCGCATTAAGCAATAAATCAGTCACATGATAAATTAAAATGAGTGCCATAATTTCCATTTGGACAGCAGTCGTCAAAGAGGGAGTTTGGACTATGTTTTTGTAAATACTGGGCAATCTTGGGAGAAAAACTTTTAAAAGCTGCAAAAGACTTTAGGTTGGGACTGAGCTTCACCTTCCAGCAGCATGATGACCCTAAACAAACAGCCAGGATCTCAATGGAAAGGTAAAGAATGAAGCATCTGCATGTGAAGGAATGCCACAGTCAATGTCCAGACCTAAAACTAAAGGAGAATTTGCAATAAGATGATGGTCAAAGGTCACTCTCCTGACCCTAAATATTCAAACCAGGCAGTCTATAATGCTGTTAGAACAGTTAAATCAGAATCAGCCTAGCTGTTTCCAAACCAAAGGTGAGTTTTAATGGTGATTATCTGACATGGAGTCAATTCAAGTTCTATTCACACATTCATATTCTATTCTGCATTCACTGAAACAGAAACATCATCTTCACAAGGATGTCATTTCTGTTCGACTGCACACTAAAACGAGACTTCGATGATCAGGTGTTTAGACGGCTAGAAAAGCAATGAACAGAGAAGAGCAACAATAACATTTGTAGTATTTGAAACAAAAGCTGGGATGAATTACAGCAAAGATTCACCAAAGCTTTAGGTTTTTAGGTTTGAACAGAGCTCAAGAATATTATATTAGACATAAGAGGGGAAAACTGTCTGCTTGAATGAGCTGATTGTAACTAGGTCAAGCTTCATTACGCGAAGCATCATCATCATACCTGGCAGGATCCGTCCACCTGACAGCGGGTGCCACGGGTCGTTGTCGGTGGCCAGGAACAGACACTCAGGGTCCCGCAGGTAGCACGAAGCTTTGGCCAGTTTCAGAAAAGTCAGTTTGTCGTCGTGTCCCACCAGAACCGCTTTCACGTCCGGAGCCAGGGCGCAGTTGTAGATGGTGGCGTCCGGGTCGTCCTCCTCCTCCACGCAGGGGATCCCCGCCTCCAGCAGCTCCAAGCGGAGCCCCTCGCAGCCGATGACGAACACCTGGCCGCGGACCTTCACGACGTCCCTCAGGTAGAGGGCCGAGCAGTAGGAGGAGCTGAAGATCTGGTCCAGCATCACGTCGGTGAAGCCCAGCCTCGTGAACTTGTTCACGTAATTCTCCCGGGGCCTGGTGGAGTTGTTGGTGACGAACACCACGTTTTTCCCGCGGCGGATCAGAGCGTTCACCACCTTGGCCGCTCCCGTGATCGCATTCTCTCCGTGCCAGATGACCCCGTCGCAGTCGAAGAGGAAGAAGTCCTTCGCTTCGAGCAGAACCCTGATTTGCGCACCGCGAATTTTCTGGCAGCCTTTGAAGGCAAAGGCGCCTGCCATTCCGGCGTTTTCCTCCGTCTCTTCCGTCTTTTACCGGCTAGTGGTGCCCCATGTCAGAGGCTGCGACATAACGTGACGGGAAACGACGAGCTTTTGCGGGACGACAACAAATCAGCGTCAGGAAATCACATTGCAGCAGAGACCTTGATGCTGTTGCACAAACCCGACATAGAGGAGCCACATAAACATTGACGTCCAGCCACGCTCTCTTGTCCAGATCGACCAATCAAAACGCAGCAGTGCAGCCAATCACAGTTGAATGTGTCAGAAGGCTAAATCCTTGGGAAATAAAATTGCGCCCTCATGGCTTAATATGAATGATATAAAAAAAATAAACAATAATGACAATAAATAAAGAGTAAAAAAATTCAAAATGTAATATGCTCTTTAAACTTCACATATTAAATTACACGACTGGATACTTAAGTTCCCACAGTAGGATGTGACATTAATTATGCTAATTATGACAGTTATGCTAAATTTTATAGAGACAAGTGAATAAAAACGACAATATAACAGCAACAATGCAAATAAAAATGAATAAAAGAAATACTACTTAAAACTAACAGCAACATACTTAACTAGCAACATTTTCCTCATTTTATTCCTCATCCTTTTGTTTTTAGTGAATATTATTGACACAGGATATCATATGCATAACAATAGGAGCTAAAAAGTTAAAGCCGCTCTTCTAAGGTATACGATTAATGAATTAACTGACACGAACTTGTATTTTTATTTGGCCACTAGATGGGGTTGTAACCTACCACCATCATAGCACAGAGGTAAGAGCTGGTGCCAGTGAAAATAATTTATCTATTTTTGTCATTAGGCTGGACAGTGTATTTTTTTATTTTTTTATTTATTTTTTTTACATTATTTCCATAAATATTAACATCCCACAGAATATGTAAATCATCTTTTTACAAAGGCTTTATGCTTTTCTCTATTTTAACACCAAAAAGATTAAATAAAATGTTGGTTACAAGAAACTTTCCATTAGATCTTTATGAAAGTTTTAGCTGGACTGAGGCCCAAAATGGCTCTGTGGATGGTAAAGGCTGCGTACCACCGCTATAGCCCAACACTAGCTTTTATTATATTATATATGCTTCAAATACGACTGCCTACAGTGTGCAGTGAGTCAGCTATTGTGATTATATCATTTCTAACTTTATTTAGAACACATATTTGCAAAAAATAAAAAAAATAAAAAAATCCAACCAATGAAAATGACTATCTGCTTTTCTGTTGCACAAAATGACCGTTAAAAATGAGACACTAGATGAAATGAGTAAAACCAGGTCGACAACCAAAGCAGTAGACAACCATCTATCCTACCATTAATTTGTTTTTCCCTCCCTCCCTTTCTTAATCTGTCCATCCAGATTAAAGTTGGTTAAAAAGACCTGAGAACACTGGAAAATGCAGTCTGGAAAGATGCAAAATGGAATACTGACATTGAAAAATATGTAGAAATATATGTGGTAAAACATATGCAGACTTCTGGATTGCCTAAATAACTTCTGTTGCTCTGGTTTTTGCGCTTTGAGAGTTTCCCTCCACCCAACATTTGTTCTGTCCTACTTTGACTCCTTCTCCCCGTCTGTTTGGGATTGGGTGCGAGACAGCGGAAGACTCACTGGAACCATCAAGTCCCAGACAAACGAAACACAGGACAGGAGTGAAGGAGTGGACAGCTGAGTGGACAGAGACAAGTGGTCCTAATTGGTCATTATTTGCCCACTAATCTATATTTTCTTCACTGCTAAACCCCAATGTAGATGTGAGTCTTGCCCCTGAGGGCAGGAACAGAGGAGGGGGGGGGGAATCCTCAGAGCCTGATTAATCATGACTCAAGTTCTGTGCTTTTGTGTCTTGTGGAGATGGAGACTTTGGGGGAAACCAGCAAATGAGGGAGTGAGGTCAAAGTTGAGTCTTGCAGGTGGTGCTGTTGGTTTGGAGCCAGCAGACCGTGACGGTTCTTTCTCACGCAACATCATCCATACAGACTTCAAGAATTCAAGCGTCCATTATTACTCCCAGAAAACTTTGTTTAAAATAACAGATTAAAACCAAAAAAAACAGGAAAGCAAAAATATTTACCAACCTAAACATGAGTTTTTGCTGCTTAGAAATACTATCAGCTGCCCCTGCATGTGGTGCCGTCAGGTCAGAGCGACACGGCTCAGCACTGCCACACAAAACACATCTGGCAGACTTGATGACACTCAAAACATTGCTAAGAACTAATGTAGGACTTCTAAAGTTTACTTTTATAGTTAAAATAAATGTAGAATGAATAAAGGGCACAGGAAATGGAACAATACAGCTTTTAAGGTAAAGACGAGAAACAATTGGTGCAGCAACTATGGTTTATTAAGCATAATCTGAGCAACATGAACAGAGGAAGGTGTTTTTACTAAAATAGAACAGAGATGTGGAACCAAAGTGTTCAGGACAACAACTTTGACACCTCTATTGTTCTTTTTTGTGTTTTTTCTTGTTGTTTTTGTTCCTGCACAAAACCCAGCCGAGAATTAGAGGTGCAAGGAATCCCAAACAGAGGAGAACCATCAAATCTAACATGTATCTCTGGTACCATGGCTGTGTTAGTGAAGCTGGCCTTAGGTGAGCGCCACCCCAGCTGTTCACAATGTGCTCCACCCACTGTTACAAAGTTACACAAGTTACAAAGTTTAAAAGTAATGAAAAGTTCTTGATTATTCTGACCTTTGGGAAATTGAAATAATTCTTGTAATCAACTGACCCAAAACAGGAAAAGTTTGGTTCAATTTAATATTAAATATTGAGATGAAATATTTAATATTAAAACCAATATCTGGCTTAAACTGCATGCTTTAACACTTTGATTACAATACATGATTAAGTAATAGAAACAAGTGAATTACAGAGTCTGCATGCCAGGATGAAGGAACATGGGTTAAAAGCATCACAGATGGCAACATCATAACGCTCCCACTGGAGGAAATGTATTACCTTTTCCTCCTCCAACAGCATTTCACACTGGAAGGACAGATGAGCCATTAAGTTTAGAAAGTCATTAAAGTTCTCCCTGAAAGACAGAGACAAAAACAAAGCATTTCTATAAACGAGCTAAAAAGGTCCAGAAGTCTAGAGCTGCATAAATCCTCAGAATCATTACAAGATACCTTTCAAGTAAAAACTGTGTCGCTCCAGAAACCAGTCGTTATATTCTTTTATGTACTTTTCTCCTAATGACCATGTGCTTCTCTTGTAACTATCTACACGAGCAGCGTAGGAAAAGTCTGCAGGGAACCGAAATATGGATTTATTGATCATGAAATTATTACTTAAATCTACTGGGGATTTTTTCTGTATGTCTAAATGTAAATACCTGTGATAACTGGGTTACCAAGTTGCAAGAACATGCGAACCTCCTGACCTTGCTGATGCAAGGTATGAGGAATTTCATCCAACAACAAGAAGTGACTTCCTCCTACAGGGCAGAAAATAAAAAAATGTGCATCTAATATTTTTACAAGCTACCTTGACAAATTATGTCAGTGCGATATCAAAAGATTGCCAACAAGCGATATAAAATTGTTTAAAGAGAACTTAAGTTGTACTCACCAATCAGACAGACCGTCAGGATGTTGGCAGAGTGAAGCAGAGGAAGAGCCAGAAGAAAGATCGTCCAAAAAGCAATCCCCATGCTGTTATTAGCAGCATGTGATGGTCTGGAGCGCAAGTCTTTTTGTCAAACTCCAAAATAAATCAATGAAAACAGCTCAAACGGAAAACAAAAGAGGCTAAGCTAAAAAATAATAAATTGCACCTGTTAAACTTGTAATCCGTATTTCTTTTCATAGAATGAATGCATCCAAGATGGGGGTTTTACTTGCAGAAACATGGAAAAAGTCCAACTCTGAGTAACTTTTATTTTCCCCAAGAAATTTTCAAGAACTCCTCTGTGTGTACTTGTCCCATGCGAGTTGCTCCGTATTGTTGAAAACCAGACAATGAGAAGACCAGGGAGAAACAGAGACAAGGGCAGGAAAGAGGTAATGGGTGTAGCGAAAGGGGGGGAGAAGGGTTCCCAAAGCCCTCATTGTATGACTATTAGAAATTTTGCAAAAAATTATTTTTTTTTCCTCTACCTTTTATGTCAGTCAGGTCTTTCAGAGCAAATAGTTTTCACTATCAGAAACAGATTATGAGTCAACACAAAATATGTTTATTAAGAGAACCAGGAGAAATCCACATCAACTTGTGGAAAATTAAAGAGGCATGTTTCCTGCCAGACAATATGAAATAGGTTAAAACCTCTTACAAACACATCCTGCATTGATGCAAAGTCATTGACATATTTGTCATGATGCAAGTTTAAAGGAGGACCCAAGTGCAGAGAGCTGGAGGAAATACTTTCTTTAAAAAAAAAAATGAATTTACAAAACTGAACTGAGAACCAGTGGGCAACTAGAGATATGGCTGAAAGGCAAGAAGGTGCAACAGAAAGAAGCAGATTAATGGGGGAACCAGTGGAGAGCAATGAGTCTGGAAGGTAAATATACAGAGGAGGGAGTCATTAGGGAAACTTGCTGCAGCTGGGAAGGCGGCGGGGATGAGGTAAATAACCAGCAGCTGGAGAAGTGGAGTGAACAGGAGACTGAGGGAAATAAGGATGACACAAGAGGGAAAAGGAAATCCTAACAAGATAAATCCTATGCCTAAAATAAGAATGAAAAATAAATGAAAATAAAATAACTTTCTACAAAAATCAAAAACCAAAGAAATCTGTAAGGGATCGCATAATTTCACACAGCTCTGTTTTCAGCAGCACAGAGCGGCGTTGCTGCTTTTGCAGGCATGTAAATGTAATGAACACATTAAAGAAGAGGACAAAAAAAATGAAAATGGAACCAGAGACAAGCCGTTAAAGTTATAGTGAATGTTTAAACAAACACAGTGACTTGCTGATGTTTTTTGTCCGACAGATAAATGCACAAAGCTAAATAAATGTTAGAAAATACATTAAACCTCAAGCATGCAGTTTTTTTCTCAGTTGATTTAGACACAGAACTGGATCATCACTGGAGTTTAGAAGACTTTTTCAAATAGACACAAAATACCTTCAAAAAGCCTACAAACATATTCTTTACTACCTTCTTAAAAAACCTACAAAGTCCTTCTCCTTGGGAGTAAACCATAAACAAATAGGTAAATGTCCTTTTTCTAAACCAATAAGAAGCTCTGCAGAATGAACTCTGTTGGGAGTTGAATGTGCTTTGGCCGGTCGTAGCCAGAGAAGCTTGGCATGCAGGTTATCCTGGACAATGCTCTCATTGTAAGCACAAAGGATGCTGCTTCTGTTAGGCAGGCCATTAGAAAAACAAGTCGCTCAGAAGAACTGCAGGAGTGCGTGACGGAGAGAAAGGGCAAGCTAAGGAGGTCATTCCTGCCGTCACTGAGGTGATTGCCGTTTCAAACATGACGTAATCCCAAATTTCAGTTCAGTTTAAACCACTTCAGTCAGCGAAGGTATGGTTGCATTTTCTGTTTATTTAACAACAAAGTAAAGATTAAACAAAAACGGCTCGAATTCCCTTTCATCGTGATGGGACAGTAGTATTCAGAATATTCTGAAGGGAAAACATAAAGTTAATGCATTAGTATTTGATATTATTTGCATATATGGTGTCTAGGAATAAGAAGATAAATGAGCATACTGAAAAATTTGCAAAAACTTACAATGAGCTGGAAGTTTGTTGAAGTTTCCATCAGCATTTGGGTGTATGGATGCTTACAAATAACAGAGAATGGGACCGACTCATTGCATTCGTATCCCATCTCAGTGTACACATTCTCAAGATTCTTAACAGACGGCAGAGACAAAAAGACTAATTAGCAGGTCAGGAAACTTCAGTAATAAAAATAAAGACAATTCCTAGTGACCATTTTTTGCATTGAAAACTTGCCAAAATGGTCAGTAAAAGTAATCAGTATCTTCTCAATGTGTCTGATTCTAACCCTACCCTAACCCTTCTAAATTAGGATTAGGCTAAATTTTGTACGTTAATTTTACAACCACAATATTTATATTTAGTTATTAAATCCAATCTGGTGTTATGTGTGTTGTGAAAGTCTTCTGAAGAACTTTGGTTAAGTGAAGCTTGAATTGAACTGGAGATGCTAAACGAGGTCTACCGTTGCTCTCTGGGTAATTCGTCATTATTACAGATGTGACATGAATTGTGATCAAAATTCACATAACAGTGGAACACAGTTTCTTCCAAAACCTAAATATTAGTAATTTGCTATATTGAAATTCCTGAATACCTGTCTGTGTTGTTCGTAAGTCATGCTCCCTGCAGGAAGGGCGATGCCCCCCATCTTGGTGAGTTTGTGGCAGGCGACATTAAGCAGAGCAGAAATGGGAACTTCCTCGTCCTTAAAAAAACTGCAAGACGAAAACAGAGCATCCTCCTCTTTGTAGTCTTCGGTGAACCTGAAGGTTGTGGGCTCTACGGTTTCTTCCGTGCCCGGCAGAGACTGTATTAAGAAACATTTATGTCGATTTAAGAAACGTGCGCGTCTCTGTAATTATTTTTGGCTTATATAAAATAATCTAACAAATGCAGAAATATAGCACAACGGCACATCTGGGTTTGATTTGACTCACTTTGCTTTTCATATACTCACATTTACAAGAAGGCTCAGTAGAGGCTGCTGGAGATGTTTCCCCAACACTACACTAAGTGCTCTGATAAAACCCTGTTTGGGGATTGGGCTGGCTGCAAAGTACTGCAGCATGGACAGATAATCCAGCAGAGGAGGAGAGAAGGAATGGTCTGCAAACATCTGGAAAAAGAACTACAACAGAAACAAATTGATACTCGTATCAATTAATAATTATTTCAGTCTTTCGCAGGTGTGTTAATTTGAAATGTAAACGTAAGACAAAACAAAAGTTCCACCATCCTTGTGTAATCGCCAATAGTAGATTATTAAAAACTGCAAAGGTTTAATTATTTAAATGTATCCGTACCCCTAGAACATTTTCACATTTTCATTGAGACTGGATGGAGAACACCTGTGAAAAATCAACACTGATAATGATGCTGCCGCCATCATGGCCACATTTCTACTATAGATTATGTTTGGCTAAAAGGTTTTATTCCGGTTTCATCTGACCGGCACACCTTTTTCCACGTTTTCTGTGTGCTCCGACATGGAGTCTGATGTAAACAGCACATTTTTTGGCTTTTATTCAACAAACATTTACAAACATTTACCAATCTTTTATAAATGAAGTAAGATTACACACAGGTGAAATACATCTACTAATTGAGGAACTTCTGAGGGACATTAGCTGTACTGGATTTTTCGTGACACACTTTTGATATTGTTCATTTGAAATTAGAATCACGCATTTTGTTTTTATCCCTTTCACAGTTATATGTTGGTCTGTCACGTAAAATTCAGCTGAAAAGACATTTAGGTTTATGGTGTGGACAAATCAAATTTCTTTTTAGATTAGAAATAAAGAAGTTGAACTCTGGCCTGTTACCTTCTGCAGGTTGCGTGAACGGTCGTAGGGGAGAGGCTCTAAAGGGTCCTCAGGGACCTTCTGGACGCTCTGACCAGAAAACCACAACTTTATCTGTCCAGAAGGAAAACGAAAAGCTGATCAACCAATCTATGAAACTCATTTCTGTGACAGCTTCTATTTACACATTAAAGGTTTATTTTTCTCACAAACAAACAGAACAGGGTTGGACATGTTATAAATCACACACACAAACACAAACACACACACACACACACACACACACACACACACACACACATATCAAATTAGTGTGAAATCTGCATTCTGGATAGATCCTAACCTGTAGGTACTGTTCCTCGTTTATATATCCAGTGTCATCAATATCTGCTTCCTTATATTGTTTCAGCAAATACAGCAGCTGTGACAGAGAGGGAAGCGGCCACGGCAGAGTAGCGCTGAGCAGAAAGCGCCGCCAGTCGATCAGCTCACATTCATCAGTTAGCAAAAAATTGATCTCTAACAGCTGAAAGCAAGAGACAGGACATGGCAGTTATTGCTCATTCAAAAATAAAAAATAAAACATTACGCTGCACTCACTGTTACACTTAAAAACTACCAAAAATAAAACATTACAAATGAACAGAGATCAGAAACAGAAAATTCAAGGAGAAAGACCACCTCTACTCTGGTCACTGAGAGCCTTGAACCTGCTGAATACCTGCATTTCAATCATATCTGTCCAGGCCTCAGGCACGATGCTCCTGCCTGAGCTGTTAGAGACCAAATCTTGGAAAAAATAAAAGAAGTCAGAGCTGGACATAAAGCCTAAAAGACAGAAAGAAGGGAAAAGGAATTATGGGTCGATGAGTGGGAAGAATAATAAACTTAGTAACAGTCCAATTAGTCTCTGGTGTACACATGAACCTGATGGAGCCATGTTGAACAGATGATTGAAGAGTGATTCCAACTGAGCAACCGTCAGTATGGACCGATTTGGTCTCTCCACAGGAGGTGGACGCGGGGGGAGAACCACACCCGGAACCAACAGACAGTCTCCGTTCAAATAGAAGTCACGGTCTTCCTAAAATACAGAACAAAAAAAAAAAAAAACGCTCTCAGATTTTACAATAACAGCACTCGAGCGTACTAAAAAGATTCAATGAAAGGCTTTACAAACCATCACCAGCTCGTACTGCAGCTTACTGGAAGCCTCTATGTGGTGGCGAACCACTTCTCCAAGCTGGTCAATACTGGAAACAGAAAAATTAAAACATTCTGTGCACAATACATGTTTAAAACACCGTGTGGCATTTAAGACCCCGAAATATTTTTCACATTTTATTACAACCACAATACTCATCTTAATGGGACTTTATGGAATAGACAAACACAAAGTAGTGAATTGTGGTGTGCATTTATGCTCACTCGGAATTGCTGCAGGTCTTTTGGGTATATCTCTACCTGCTGCTCTGAAGAGGTCGAGCACTACATCTTTTGCCCGTCCTCCACTGCACGATAGTTAAGGCTGAGTCAGATTGGATGGAGACCATCTCTGAACATCAATTTTCAAATCATGCCATATATACCGCATCTTACTGTATCTAGGTCAGGACTCTGACTGGACCTTGTCTGAGTCAGGTTTTATCTATATCTACAGCGTGCCAACACGGTTTGATCAACAAACAATCCAGTTTCTATGAAGATACATGTTCAACATAAACAGATTTAACCAAAATTATTTTCTAAATGTCCATGAACTAGTGACAGACATTTGTTAAGCATAGTTGGGCATTATGAGTTACATCAAATAGCTAAAAAAAAAAAACTAAAAAAAACTACAGTTTCTCTAACAGGTCAAATACAGAAGTTCAAACCCCCTTTACACTGTTTAAGAATACAAATATGTTTCAGTACAACCAAAAATATTCAAATTAGGTTTACAGTACTGACTGTAATCTACTGTGCTACTGAAGTTTGTGGTTGTAATGTAACAAAATAGGGAGAATTTTAAGAGATACGAATGCATTAGTAAATCACACGATGTGTAGGGCTGTTGTACACACACATATGATCAAACCACACCAAACATAAGGGGAACAGATGTTTATGTAATCATACCACTCCATTTCCGACAGATAGAATGATTCAAACTGCTTCTCCATTTTGTTAAAAGTCTCATGCACTTTGTTTTCCAGGGAGTTGACCATCGCCAGGCCGCGGTCTTTCACCAGCTCAAGACGAACCTTGATTGAATTTTCTACAAAACACACAGAAACAGGACGAATACCCAGCTAAACACTGACTAATAGAGTACTAAATACAATGTTATCTTGGTGCATAAAAGTAACTGCATACAGGAACAGACGTTAACGCAACCCACTGCATGATAATATTAACACTTGGCTATATATTGGTGGGACAGATAGTGTAGATGTACATACCCTCATGAGTCACAGCAGCTGTAAATTCTTTATATATTTTCTCTCTCAATTCTTGTTCTTGAGTTTTTTCTGGAGGTTTTGGGGGTGGAATCTCCACTACTGGTGGAGGTAATGCTATGGAAAGCAAAAGATTATAAAGGAGGGCTGATTAAAAAAAAAAGAAAAATAGACAATTACAGCGCATATATGTCCTAAAGGTTGTTAAGTATCATGCCTGCTTGCTTTTTTTGTGACTGCTTTTCCTTTTTAGAACTTTTTGGACTTGTCTTCTTTGATACGGTCTCTTTTTCTTCTGCGACCTCTTCCGGCACTTCTGCCTCTCTCTGCTGGAATTCTACTGACACCTACACAATTGAAAGACCAGCAAGAGCCACTACAGCAAAAAGGTAGGTAATGTAATAATACTCCTCAAGCTAACAAAAAATAGCATTACCATGTCCTTGATAGTTTGAATAGCTTGAAGAGCCTCTTCATAGTCTCTTAAAAGTTTCCCCCGAAATAACTTGAAGAAACAACAAAAAGAATCAGTAGCTGCTGTGCTGTGCTATGGATCAGAATAAAGTACAACACTAAAAGTGACATTTACATTCTCTATCAGCTTAGAGGAAGACTTCGTGGGGTCAGGGGGTCTAATAAAAGTAGAGAACAATCAGGTGTACATAACGTCATACTTTAGAGTATTTATCACAAGTGTTTAGGTGAGCATCAACAGGCTTTTCAGAGGACAACTTATGTTCTTCTACTTACAGTTTTTTATCGCTTGCCTGGTCCTTCACACCACTGCTCACTGGCTCCATACTAACAAAACACATTTTTAAGCAACTTTCATTAGCCTTTAGTAACTTTCCATCACATTTACCGACTTGTGTTCATTTCAATAACTAGACTAATATCAATGCAGTACAAAAGTATCGATACTCTTTCAATGTTTTTTTAGACTTTGTGTTGTGACAGCTTCAATATTCAATGCATTTTAAAGAGATTTTATGGGACAGATCAGGACAAAAACACATATAATAATGAGTTGAAGCCTTTGAACAGAGAGTGTCTGTAAAAAGCTATTTTGGTCTCACCACAGATTTTCAATAACATTTTGGTCTAAGGATTTGTGATATGGAATGAAACTCATATCTGTTGTGATGGGTGGCAGTAACAACATATATCACCATATGTTTTTGGTATAAAACGTACAATAGGAATGAAAAGAATCTCAATCGGAAGAAATTAAACAATCACATTTTGTCTGTAAATACGTTCTACCCAGAACGTCTAAGTTTTAGCAGTTTTAAGCCTCACCTCTTATAAATGTATATTTATGGAATTTGTGTGTGCTGTTTGCAAATGTTTTGTTTTATGCTGCCTCCTGTTATTGCCAGGTCTCCCTTAAAATAAGATTCTTAATCTAAATGATAATGACTACCAGGGTAAATCAAGGTTAAATAAATAATAGATATATCTCTATCGAGAAACATAATTTACTTCATAATTATACATTACTAAGTGCTGGTCAATGACATGACATCCTAATAAAATCCAGTGAAGTTTCTGGTTATAACTTGGAAAATTTGGAAAAGCTCCAGAGGAATGGATGCTGTTTTACTGTATTAATAAGGTTCTTACGTGTTGTCCTGATCTTCAGCTCCAGTTTCTTTCAGCAGTGTGATAGTGAAATCTTTGGGAGATATCCTAAGTGGTATTTGTCTGTTCATGCCCCAGTAGTAGACCTCCAGGGTACAGAGTGTTTCACGGAAACGGTTCATTTCTGTCTGTAGGACACAACCAAGGAAATGCTGGGATTTCAGCGTTTCTGTAACATCAAACCATAAGCTGAACAGGTTTAGCAAGTTACCTGTATTATCATAGAGTAGTGGTTGATGAGCAACGCTGATTGCTCCTCCAGCCATCCATCATACATGAAAGCCGACCTCTCCTGCTTGTCTTCTTCTTTACGCTTGTCGGTAATGTCCCACAGGCGTTCCTGCAGCTCCTGAATATACATCGGATCCATTCAGTTTGTTATTTTTATCCTTTCTTTTAAAATGACGGGCACATAATCTGTTTGTTCCTTTTGCATCACAGTACAGCATATTCTAATGTAGTCTTACATCCAGCCTCAGATGAAGCTCCGCTTTGGTCTCCTCGTCTTCTCTCATGTCGTCTGGTACGCTGTTGAAGACCTTCTGCCACTGAGAAACTAACTCCTGCTTCAAGTCAGGGCAAGTCAGAAAGTGGTTGTATCTTTCTCTGAAGAAGTGTCACAGTTTTACAATACAATTAGAGAAATTTACATTAACTGCAAAATGCTTTGGAGAAAAACTCACCCATAAACACTTTCAAAGCCCTTTCCTGTGCACCCACATTAGAACACATAACATTTATGCCTATTCTGACATGAATCAACCAGGAGATCGTGTTTTAAAAGTGCAAAACAAAATCTAGAAACTGAAGAATTAGAACTGAAATGATTATCGTGTTAATCATGATGAATTGATTATTGCAAAAATCGTCAACTAATTTAGCAATTAATTCGTAGTTAACTGGTGCCTAGTCTTGAAAAAGGGCCATATTCTGAAAGAACATATTCAGCACAGTGTATAAGCCAAAACTGTAGTGAAATACTATATATAGTTATGCATTTGAATTATTTATTTATTTGCATTTATTAATGTATTTTTTAAATACTGGCTTAGAAGAAAAATCTGCAGAATGTGTCCGTTTGTTATCCAAATAATCAATTAATCATCAGAATAATCAGCAGATTAATTAATAACTAAAACTAAAATCATTAGTTGCATCTCTAAAAGGAATAAAAATATTCTACAAGCTGTTGCTGGCTGAACGTGGATCCAGATGTGTTTGGTTTAACTGAACAATCGATTCTTATTAGCTTGGAAAATGGAAAATTTCACACAAAGGGCAGTAGGTGCCTCGAGTTGAAACCTAGAAACCAAAAGGCTGAACGTGATACCTGATTTTGAAGAGGTGGCGATCAATAAGAGTGAGCTGTAAACGCAGCTGCTGCATTACATGCTTTATGCCGTTTACATAAGATTGACAGACATCTTTCCAGTGTGAACACAGGTACTCAGGTACTTGCTGGAGAAACATAATAAGGGGAAAATATGAACTAAATCAACAGCAGTGAAGGAGGATAGTAATAGCAAAACAGGTAAAAGATGAATATCAGTTATAATACATATAGGAGACTAGAAGTCTATCAAAGAAGTCAATAAAATACCCAGAAGTTTGTGGCTATAACCAGACAAAAAGTCTGTAAAGAGCTTTGCAAGGTACTACAGATGTTACAAGGTGGCTAAAATGAATCCATTTTCTGTAATATATGCAGTAGACACAACTAAATGTTGAAGAGAATAAACAGTTTTGCAGGTATTCAAAAACCCCATAAACAAATAAAGCATGTAAATAAAAATAGTATATCTTACTGGAGACAAAGGCTCATTTACGTAGAGCGGATTTAATGCGAATGATCCTGGCGGTTGGGTGCTGTCGTTGAGTCCGTCAATAGACCCAGTGGACGATAACACAGTGTCAGAAAACCCTTTTCATCACACAGAAATGTACAAGTTAACTTTAAAACAAGGTATGATTCAAAAGCAGCTGATCAATTCATGTCTTAATGAATGGTTTTAGATCAAGAGTACAATCTGACTTGTGTCTTTTCCCCTCCTGAGGCTGGAGAGGGACCTTGTAGAACTCCTTCTCTCTATGCTTCTTGTGCTGTCCGACATATCTTCACCAAGATCAACGGCGACTAATGAGGGAATTAAATGCAACAACTGAATTAGTATTGTATTTATGCTTGACAAGTATAAATTCACTTTAAAATAACTGTATAAGGCGTGATTAAAGAACAGCTGATCAAATCATGTCTTAATACTTTTAGATCAAGAGCAAAAACTCATTTGAATCTCTTCCCCTCTTTCTATCCATATTCACACTAAATAAAATCCTTGTGGCGTTCCCCAGGGTTATATTCTGGGTACTCTCCTCTTCAATATCAACATAATTTTATCCTTTGAAATTTTGCAGAATAAAAATGTAGAGTATCATAATCATGCTGATGAAACACAACTATATATTAGCCTATTACCAGAAGACTTTAGTCTAGTTTAAAAATAATATCCTCTTTGCTGATGCCTACTCTTAAACCAATTTTTATTTTATTTTTTTTTATCTTACTGATTTGATGTGTTGTACTACATTTTTGTTTTTATATTAGCATTTTGAGTTGATTTTGGCTGATAGGTGCTATATATAAATAAAGCTGCCTTGCCTTGCTTTGCCTTAAAGATGGAGCTGGATCTCCTTCTTGGTAGGTAATCTAACACACCATCTTCAGCAGAATGAAACCCAGCACCTAATAAGGGGACCAATCACAAGATTTGAGTAAATATTGTATTCCTGCACATGTTGACAAACACAAATTAACTTTAAAATAACTGCATGAGGTGATCAAATCATGTCTTAAGAGAGAAATCTCACTGGAGTCTCTTCCCCGCCTCATGGCTCTAGAACTCCTTCTTGTTTCCAGACCTTTTGGGATTTCCTCTTCAGCAGGAGCTACGAGGGAATTAATTGCAAGGTTTCAGTAAATGCTACGTATATGTGCGGCTCAGTAAAACATGATGACAAATTCATATACAAATGTCTCTGTACTTAAGCAGTGAAAACCTTATCAGTGTTTAAAAGCAAAGGAGGTTTTTTGAATTATAGTATTCTAATTGTTTAATTATTTGGAATAACTGACAAATTACCTTACTTTAACAGCTAAACATCAAAATGGCAAAAAAAAAAAAGTCACCTTCTTCTTGCTCTTTCATAACCTCACACAGGGCAGACTCCACTTTGCTATAAAGTTCCCCCTCTTCCACATCAGCGTTGACATTAACCAAAATGTTTTGCTTCTCACCATACCACTTCTCTAGCTCTGGCCAGGTTTCCTGAAAAGCTGCAATCCTTCCATAAAAAAAATACAAAATAAAATCAAGTTCAAACCTTGAGATTACAGTCATGCAGGACAAAAAATTCAATCCAGCGGTATTCCTGCCTGATCACGTTGTGCTACCTGAACAAAACATTGTACTACCTGTGTGTAATGTGTGGAGACCACCTGATGGTGGCTGCTGGCTGGGAGGGTACTGCGGTAGCAGCAGCAGCAGCATCTTTAGATATTTTGGGACGAAAATGACCACATGAGCACCAAAGAACATTTAGCTTGTTCTTGTTTATAACACAGAGCAAAATGCCCCAGTCACAGCATTATACCTTTACCAGAGGATGCCCTTCTAATCACACACTCATCAGATATATCCAGCAGAAGAGCCACGTCCAGCACAGGCAGAGTAGGTGTTGGTGGTTTGAGGTGCTCTGGATTAGGAACAAGTTCAAATGTGTTGACTTCAGTGCTCTGTTCTTCTTCCACAAACCCACCCAAAGCTTTCTCCAGCAATTGGGCTTGAGTGATGTTACTTGGAAAGCCATCCAGGATCCAACCTGTCTGAGCTGGAACCTGACTGATAGGAAGAAATCAGTAGTTTTAGTGTTTGTTGTTAATCTACGTCAATAGAAACCAACCATTTAGTTCAGTACAACAAATGACCAATTGATAAAATATGGTACAATTAAATCAACTGAACTTGTACAGTCATTTTCCAGTCATACTGATCTCTCAAAGTGCTTTATACTAGAGCCACTTTCATCCATATATACACTGCTCAAAAAAATAAAGGGAACACTCAAATAACACATCCTAGATCTGAATGAATGAAATATTCTCATTGAATACTTTGTTCTGTACAAAGTTGAATGTGCTGACAACAAAATCACACAAAAATCATCAATGGAAAATTTATTAACCAATGGAGGCCTGGATTTGGAGCCACACACAAAATTAAAGTGAAATGTTCCCTTTATTTTTTTGAGCAGTATATATATATATATATATATATATATATATATATATATATATATATATATACAGATCGGTGCCTCACCCAGACGCACATGTGACAAGAGAAATCTGGAACTGAAAACCTGTCAATTGCAAGACAACTACCCACTGAACCACAGTCAACCTACTTAGGACAGCTGATGCAAAATAGTATTCGTCATCATTACCTGATTGCTTCAACTAAAATGTCCACTATCAGCTCATTTGGAATGGCATTTCCTTTCCTCAGCTCCCTTTCTACTGACGCTGCAATCGAGGCCATCTGCATAAACACATAACAGAAAGTGAAAATAGACATGTTTCATTACAAACAGATGTTAGGTCTGGAATAATTATGCCTAAAATATATTCATTTGAATATTATGATTCTCAAAGTCTCTTTGTTATGTTACTAGTTAAAAAAAAAAAAAAAATCTCGGTAATACCAGTGAGTTCAATGTAATGTGTGATGCATAAAGGAATACAAAATTAAGACAGTGTACTAAAATTTCATTATGAGCACCCCTGAACACTCACTTTGTTAACACATTCTCTTTTTTCTTCTAGTTTGCTAGAATCTGAGGAAGGAAGAAAGAAAGAAAGAAAGATTTGATTTTAACAACACATTTATTTTTCAATAAAAAATACATTTTAGTATGGTTTACTTCAACATTCACGCAAACATTGAATTGAAAACTAGCTTTCTATCAACCACAGAGCACACGACATTTTTAAAGCACCACAAAGATAAAAATTCAGTTAAGTTATTCAACATTGAAAAAAAACATACACTCTGCCTTTACTCTGTTTTTTACCATCAGAATAAGCATCCTGTCGACTTTTCCCCCCAAAATACAATTTAATTTATTTCTTCTGTTAATATAAATGGAAAATGTTGCCTATCCAACAGGAAAATTCAACAAATTGCACCTACTGGCTTTCTTTTTTGTATAACCTGCACCAAATATGAAAGCCACCTCAGACCAATAAACACCACATTTTTAAAAAACATCTTCCAACAACAACAAAAAAAAACAATAGTGAAAGTCATGTACATTCAAGAAACATGTGAAAAGTAGTTTCTATTTCTTCACAAAAAGGACATAATTCTTTTGTATCTTTTCTAAATTTAGAGACAAAAGTGTTAACACTCACACCACCGTGAAATATCGTCCAGTGAAAGTCGACCGCTCTCTTTACTCAAAGGCATAGAAAGAAAGAGACAAACAAAGCAAAATGAAGGTAAATAAGCAGCTTCAGTAAAAATAATACCAATTTTACTTAGTCCCAGGGAAAAGCATTTTTATACATCTTCAACTTTTTTTATATGAAGGAGAACGTGAATAGTAAATAGTAAATAGTAAAACTAGTAAATAGTAAAACTGAACTTCCTTCCACTTCACAATTATGCTCTACTTGATAGTGGTCTATCACATAAATGCCAATGAGATGCATTAAATTTGACTCTGCAGCATGCCAAAATTGTGAAAACGTTCCAGGGGTATGAATAGTTTTGCAAGAGACTATGCAGAAAAAAAACAGCTTCAATAAACACCTGACGGAACTGGTGTGGGGGATTTAGAGAACGGCTCGTTCTCCTTCTCCTCCTGCTGATCTGCAGCCTATATTGTTGGGTAAAAAAAAAACCAAACATCTGCTTTAAACTTTGAACTAAGATCGACAACTAAGATTAAATGGTAAATCAGTTGCAGGTTAAAAAGCCTTGAGACAGAAATTCCAGCACTATAATTTACCTTCTCTCCTTCTCTAACAGACCTCAGCGCCTCTTCAACCAGTGTGTCAGGCGACAACACAGTGACGCCATGCGCTGTGCAGGAAACATTAACTTTATATATTTCAACAGTTTTAGCAAAGCAGAAATTACAAGGGCTAAACACTTTTAATGTGTGGACTTTAAAATACATTATTTTATATCTATATATATATCTATATATATAATTTTATACCTTCAGCAATCTTGGCCATACATTTGCTCTTGCATTGGCAAACCTTGCCCTGGATGCAGGACTTGATAGAAAATAGAGGAGTGGTCGTGGCCGGTTCCACAACGGTTGGATGAGCAATATTTTTAATTCGATGGATAGCATATGCGAGAATGTCGTTGGAGCTCGGTGGTAACTTTGTTTCTTCTATATCCTTTGACCACATCCACACACCAACCATATTCTTAAAAATAAAACAGAATAAAAAAATTAAAAAAAAACAGCCATGAGTTATCTTCGGCAAAGCACACCGACTGAATTTAAAAGCAGTGAAGTAAAGATTCATACTCACAGTGTATTCATCATAATCCAGGTTGTTGAGTACCTCTTCTTTCTTAACCTCCGAGGGGCTTAATGCTGCCAAGAATCCAATCTCTGGCTCAATGTCTTCCTGTGGCTCGTAGAAGGGAACACCCTGAATGAACAGTTCCTTCCACTCTTTATACTTCTTCTCTGGAACAAGACTGGAAATGACGGCATGAAAAATGTCAAGAAGCAAATGTAGACTTTCAGTTGTGGATACAATTAGACCACAGATCTGAAAAATGGCTTCAGGGTCACACATCACTGTACAATATCAAAACAGAATTTAAGTGTTTCATAAATAGATTTATTGATTAAACAGTTTAAAAATATATATTTTAAGTTAAATATTAACACAAAGTACCTAGCAGCGGATAATTGTTGAGCTGGCCGCTATGAGACTCTCATACAATAATCAGCTATTATGGGATTTACATCAAAATTCTAAACAAATTATAAAATGACCAAATTCCCCTTATTGCAAATGTTATTTTAACTGCTAATAAAATAACACAACATAATTATCATTGCAGTCATAAGCATGTTAGCGCTTATGAATAGATCTCTTTTTTTGATACATTGGCTGAATCCAAATACAAAATAAACCTCCTGCGTTTAGCAACAATTTTTGGCCTGACAAGCTTATTGAACAGAATATTATTGCATTTTGCTGCTCCAGAAGTATTTCCAAAAAGCTGAATTAGACTTTTTTGTAAACGGGGGATAAGTTGAGTAAAGCTTTTTTCGGCCTGCGGACCGATAGTGTGCAGCAACAGATGCATTACTCGAACAGACTCTTGTTAATTTTCCAAACATGCTGTATTTTATTAAATGAACAAACACCATAATGGCATCACTACGAATCATGCTGAAGTCAATAAGAATATCTGTAGGATTTGAACTTTTACTTACTCAGTTGCATCTTTCAGATCATTAAGTTGCGAAAGCAGAAACATGTATTCAACTTAGGGTCCTTTTCACAAAAAAGTAATTTTGTTTTGTCTATCATCAGACTGAGAGATCAACTTGAAAATAAGTATCCTACTGACAGCTAGGGGTGCACTGATGCATCGGCCCCGATTTTCTTAATTTTGGGAGATTGGTGATCGCCCGATACTTAAATATGAAGCCAATCTTATCTAATAATCTAAAACTCAGCCACCATCCTCTACTGCTCTGCTGTGAGAGGGTTGACTGACAGCCCGGCCCACCAGGATATGTCTGCATATTCACAGTTAACAATAGTTACTCCACTGTTGCCAACTCAGCAACAACAAAATTGGTATTGGCCAAAATCGGAATCGGAAAGTTAGGTTTTTTTAAAGATCGTTGATCTCCGGTCAGCCATAAAACTGCAATTAGTGCACGCCTACTGACAATACTCTGCTTCTTCCATATTTCTAAAAGCGAGGATGTCACGTACTTCTCTGTGATATGGCGATATTCTCCGGCTGTGATTGCCATGTCCACCATCTGTCCCAAAATCTCTGAGCAGATGCCGTAGTGCTTCAAGTGTTTTTCGAGAGCACGCTCTGCAGCTACCATCTTGCAAAATTCAATCTCCTTTTCGATCTCTTCTGCTCGAGCCAATTTGGCATGCTCAGCCAGAACCTGCACCAGGTCCAGGCAAAAGCAAGGATTTAGTAGAGATAGTATGGCAAAAATCTTTATGTTGCTGTTGGAACTAATTAAGACAATAATGAATTCTTACCTAAATATTGTAATCTGTCAACGCCATTCTTTACTTTAATAATTATTGCTTACCCACGCTTGTAAAAAATATCTATCTTACCAGATTCTTTTGTTCATAACACCAAACAACACAACCACACTTTAACTCAAAGCAACCAAAACCATACCTTTCCTTGAAATCCCTATGGAAACACTGCATAAACACAAAATCTCACTTATTTTTTGTTGGGTTTTGAGTGCAAATATCTTTGTACGCTTGAAATAACACAAAGCTAACTTACAAGTCACTTTCTTCTAAGCAAGCTACAGAAGCTTGTTTAAAGCTAATAATTTGCTAACATTGTTGACAAAGTACTAGTTCCACTGGCAGATTATTTCACTTATATTAACACATTCTTCCCATGTTATAAGTCTGCCAGTGAAACTATAGTACTTTTTAATCTGTGGTCAAGAAGTATTTATTTAAAACAAGCCCATATATCTTGATGAAAACTTACTTTTAAGTTAGCTTTGTCTTTTTTCAAGTGCATACAGATATTTGCTCTAGAAACCAATACAAAAGCACTTGGAAAGATTTTGCTTTTGCAGTGATCACCCAAAGAATGACTGAATATGCTTCTCACCGCCTCCTTGTCCAGAGCTTCCCTAAAATCCTTTTCTCTCTGACGCCTGTACTGCTCCTCTCTGAACAGGCGATTCTCCAAAATCACCTCTTTCTGCCTCCGTATCTGCATCAGTTGTTCAGCCAAACGCTGCTCCTGCTGCGTCTGGCGAGTCAGACGACGCACCATTTGCTCTTCAAGCTGCGCCTCCTGAAACAGAGGTTTAAAACCATAGTACAGGACAACATGATTGAGGATATCTACTTTCCTCAAACAAATTGGCTGATATGCGAAATTCCTACGCCACAGAAACGGAGGCCACTGTGAGTATTTGTTCCTGTTGGGAATACGTAACTTCACAAAGTTTTACCTGCTGAGATTCACGCGCTTTATACTGCTCCATCAGAAATCTGTCTACTCGTTTTTGTCTCTCCTCTCGAGCCACAGCGCTCTCCTTCAGCTGCTGCCGGATGCCCTGTATGTACTTGGTATTGGACTGTAATGCCACTTTATCTGGTTTATCTGCAGGGACTTCGGCCTCCTGTATGACGGCACTAAGGGAAGAGTCTACAGGGATGGATTGGTCACTGGGGCTGAAAATAATCAATATAAAAGATAAGTAGACAACTCTACAAACAGAACCATTTGAATAAAATAGTGTCAAATGAATGTAATATTGTTTTCATTAACTTTTCCACTTTCTCTTACCTTGACAAGGTCACATAACTAGATTTAGCAAGTTTGTGCTGTTTTTCCTCGAATATGGCTATTTCAGCCTGGACCATCTGCACAAGCAAAGCAGTTGGAAAAGCAGAACAATTATCCCAGAAACCTATTCTCAAAAAAAAAAAAAATAACCTTCCTTTTGCAAAATGAAAAGATTCACATAAATGCTTGTATCTTGATCAAACCTGAACTTCTTTTTCTCTGAGCTGCTCCTGCTTCCTTTTTTTCCTGAGATCTGCATTTGAGTGCAGTGGCTTTAGCAGCTTCGTATTGGTCAGAATCAAGTCATCGAACTTCTGAAGACCACCCTGCAACTCACAAATTTCCTCACATATTGATGATTGCATTATCAGGGGTCTGAGGACCATGTGTATGTTTTCCACAAACCCAGGTATATTTAGGTTAAACTGAATAGAAGAGTACAAATTTTGTACTTTATTTTCCATATTTTTTTACCTTCTCGCTCTTTTCTAGTTTTCTCTCATCTTGGATTTTGGGTAGCTTCGTTTGTTGAAGAGGTGGGATCTCCTTAGACAAATCATCCGGTTGGTGGTCTTTACCTTCATTATCCTGAGTAATTTCCGGAAGACCCTGGTCTGCTTTGGCTGACACCGCCGGAGGACGTTGCTGTATAAAAGAAAAGATACTTTTTACATTTTTTGTCACAATATCAACTATCAATCTACTAATTTTGAATTCAAATGGAAAGGTAAAAGTCAGCTGAGTGCTGGTAAAGAGCATACTAACCACAGACACTAGCCTCTAACCTCTGGTACTGCAAAATACCTTACACATTTATTTAATGTTCTTACATTGGAGTGGATTTCAGACTCCCTTTTCTGCAGGGTGGGCAGCTTCACCACCCGGCTGATTCCTGCAGGCTTCTTCTCTTCTAGTGCGACGTAGAGCTGGTAAAGAAGGTTTGTGGCGACACCGTGCTTCTCCTTCATCAGATCTTGGGCTGTGCTCTTATTGAAGCTGACCCCCAGAAGCTTAAAACTTGGCTCAAGCCGAGAAAAGTTATTGGTTTTGGCGTTGGAGGAACTAAATTTAAAAAAAAATGTGAATTAATGATTGCTGAACACTTTAAATTTGTTGGCAAACAGTATGACGTTGAATTTGGTATTTGATTAGAAACCTTCAGTTCAGTACTGGGGCGAAGGTTTATTTCATTGCTTTTGAAGAATCTGGACTTCATTTTACCACCTACTTTAAAATCTAACATGGTCAAACTGGGGCTGAATGATTCTACATCAAGCTGTGTTGTGATTTCATGTGAGAGACCAACACAAAACAGCACAAAGTTGTGAAGTTACTCTTTTAAACAGCAATGTGTAAAGTTTAGTGTTCTTCTATGTTCCTCCCCTTTTACTTTGACATTCTTAAATAAAATCCAGTTCAACCAGAAGTTGCCTAATAAAGTAAATAAGAGCACACCTATATATAATTTTATCCCAGTATAATTCCGGTTGCTCTATGAAGGCCTCAGAGGTTTAGTTAATGAATAAACGGCATCATTAAGACCAAGGAGCCCAACAGACAAGTCCGTGGTAAAGTAGTGGAGGCATTCACAGCAGGGTTAGGTTATAAAACAATCTCGTAAGTTTGACCATCTCACAAAGTACACTTTCATGCATCATCTTTGAACTGGAAAGAGTAGGACAGAGTATGGTATGGCAGCTGCACTGTTGCAGATAGGGAGAGGCTCCAGACAGGCCATAAAGGCAGCTCAGAGGGTTGTTGCCTCCCCCTCTTCCCTCTCTGAAGGACATTTACACCTTCAGCTCCCCCACTAGAGCTAATAAGCATGTGAGTTGGCCTACCACATATAGTTACAATTAAGTAAAGTTTACATTGAACTTTTGAAAGGTGCCATATAATCACTAGTTTCACAATATGGAACTTACTCGCTTTTCAGAAACATATGAAAATCCTCCTGCATCTGATATTTATGAAGTATCTCTCCGAATAGGTAACCATTTGAGAAATCCTTGGAAACGTTCCTGGCGTCTAAGAACAGTCAGCAATCATGGTGTCATAAACTTTGATAAATTATGAAGTTCAGAAAGTTCTGTGCTCAGATATTCACAATTCAAATCTAAGACATCAAAACCAAAGACACAGTTGTGCCATGTCTTTAAAACTTAAAACTTTTTTAAACAAAATGCTAAAAATGTACGAAGCACTTTCACCGCACAACTCCATTGAGGTATTTATTGCGTTAGCGTTAGCCTAATGAAGCTAGCTCTGGGAGGATTGTGTTAATTTACACTTACCTACGGTTTCAGAGAGCCTCAGTTCACGGTTCAGCCACGAGCACAAAATATCTGACATTGTCTCTGATGAATAAATATCACCTCATAAGGAACTAAATGAGAAGTGTCTCCTTTTTAGATAATATAATCGTTGCAAAATTCAACACCGAAGGAAACTTCAGTTTCACCTTGTTGCCATGGTGATATGTAAACAGCGTTACCAGGAGGTCTATGACGATGACGTTGATAAAATATATTGAAGAAATGCAGAAAAAGTTGAAGTGGAATTAATACTTTCGCAATGTAATGCATACGTAAATAACATTTTATTTTAAGAGTACTTTCATTTGTCACAAATCTAATTTCTAGCAGGTCCAGGTTTTGTGGGAAATTCTGTTCCCCTGTAAAAAAAAAAAAAAAAAAAATCTGTTCCCCCTGTGTCGGGAGCGCGCACTCCAGCCAAAGAGGTGGTCCTGTGCGAAAAAATTAAAAAATAAATTTTAGTAAATTATTGAAAATGTTCCCTGTTTTGACAAACAGAAATAAGACTGACTTGATCTAATCTGGTGATATAGAAAATAAAACTAAAGTTGGGCCAATCTACAGGTACAGCTAAAGAAATTGAATATTGCAAAAATATTTGTCAATTTTAGAAAAAGAAAATTATATATTGTACAGATTAATTATACTCAAATTGAAATACTTCCAGCCTTTATTTCTTGTTATTTTGATGATATTGGTTCATTGAAACAGGTAAAGTTAAGCATTTACATAAAGCTTGACAGAAGAAACAAAGGAATTTCCAACCAGATGGCTGTGGACTTCAATAAACACAGTGAACCTGCACCAACTAGTCCCCAAATCTTCACTAAGTTTGAAACTTACACTGGACTTCACATGAAGTGAATTCTGTGCATCTCCACTCTTCCTCTATACTGTGGTACCTTGATTTCCAAATGAAAAGTAATTTTACCTTCATCTAAAAACCTACCACACTTTTTCCTCCCACCTAACTTTCAGTAAATAAGCTTAAACAACCAGATCTTTAGCAATAACCTTTTGTATTGACTGTCCTCTGGACGTTTGTCTCCTCAGCAGCCTACTGGTCCAGCCTGAAACCATTGGAGGCTCAGGGAACCTTTGCAAATGTTTTGAGTTAATTAGCTAATCGAGGTGTGTCGCATACATATATTCATACACACATTCAGATTAACATTTTATACTCAAAACTAATGAGGGAAGTAGTAAACTCTCTGAAGAGTAAATTAACTCACCAAGCACAGAAATTAAATCAACACTGACAAAGTGGCAAGTGTTCAGACAAAAAGCAATTTATTGCATTTAAACAAGAATGATAGCGATCTGTGGTATTGATTCTTACATTTACACATTCACTCAGAAGCAACTTCTACACTAATCAGGCCCTTAATAAAATATTCTGCAATATGCTCTCTACATTTTACAGAAATCCGGGGGGGAAAAATTTGTTTAACATAACATTTAAGTCACGTTATCATGCAATGTGTTAGTCAGTGTTTTAAGCCAAAGATGACAAAAAGGTTAACAATTTTAAAGGTTCACAAAGCCACTGTTTTGTATTTACAGTTTGTGTAGCATGCATCAAGTTCACAAAACTATTGAGTTAATATTGAGATGTTAGACAGCAAGTGAACCCTGCATATCCGTTTCCCCAGAGATGGCAATTTCTAGCAAACAAAAAAAAATATGATTGAAAGAAAAATGATATGCACACATCAAGGATGACTTGTCTGGTCACATCTACACTGATTAAAAATTAGTTTGTGATATGATAAAGAGAAAGTTCAGCTACACAGTATTAAGTTGGTTTACATTTTTTTTTTTTTAGAAAAACTTCACATTTTATTACATGAAAAAAAGATTTCAATTAATCTCCAATATATCTGATAACATTTTGTCATGACAAGGAAAGAAATCAGTTACTTCCATATAAACATTTTTTTTAAAAAGGTGCCATTTAAATAAAATTCTGTAACAATCAATAATGACACTTTGAAAGTAATCAGCCATCTTTGCACACTCATAACTTTTTAATCAGTTTTAATAGCTAAAGAAAAAGTTTGCAAGTGTCAAAAAAACTTCGTTGATTGCCCCTTACCAGTATCCCAACTTTAAAAACATCCTTTAATAGTGTTTCCATGTCACAGTCATTTTTGTTAAAGCTTGTTGGCTGGAGGCACTAAAGTAATTTACAACCGTCAGTCGAAAAAAAAAAAAAAACATTCTGACTTTAAAAAAAAAGAGAAACAATAGGGAATCCAGAGGATTTAAGAAGTATTACCCAAAGGATAAACATTCCCTACAAATACTTTAGCAAAGCCTCACCAATAGTGCATTTTTACCAAATACAGACTCTCTTTAAAGGGCAAATATATTTTTGAGCCAGGAAACCTAAAATCCCAAAAGCTTAGAATACAAATCTTGATAGGCCTTCCAGTTGTTCTAAGCAGATAAGAACTTTTAAAAATGCACAACCTGAAACTGAAAGTCTTTAAAAAAACATGAAAACATGGAGGCACTTCCATATGTATGACAACAATGTTTTCATTGACGCCATCTTGAAGCCTGTCATGTAAACAGAAAAGATTTCCCTTGCAGATAACAATAATATTAATAAAAAAAACCAGCTATCTGAAATATCCTAACCATATCTGTGAACGGAAAAGAATGGTCATAATATTGTCTGTTAGTGGCAAACAATTTTTGGCCCAGGATTATTTAACAATTAAACATTTCAAATTTAAGTAAAACGTCAACACAAACCTGAGGGAAAAGACCCAACTTTTCTTGTAGCTACATGAGGGAAGTTTACAGCAAGATTATCAAGATAAAAGCAGATGTAGTTTGTGATGGACAGATTGTTTGCTAGGAAAATAATTGCTTTTGCTAAGATTTTAGTTTGACGTTTTCTGCATCAGTACAAACACCTGCTAATAGCTGCAGATCAAACTAAAACAACACTTTCTCCAAATGTTTCCTCTTTATGTCTAACCAGAAAAAGTAAACCAAGTATTTTGTCGTTGTGTCTGAGCCAAATGAAGGATAATTGATTTAGTAATATTCAAATTCATGAACTCAAATTTGGACCTGCAAAGTTAGTGTCGATATTGTCTTGATTATTGGTTATTTATTATTATTGGTCACTTAAACTGATATACACATCTGAGTTAGTTTCCAAACTACAATCACTTTCAGTTGCCTTGTGTACACTGGCTTTCCATTCAGAAACTTTCAATTTCTGAAGATACAAATTATACAGTTACCTGGAGCTACAAGTCAGAACAAAACTGAAAAGGCATGACTGGAAAATCTATATTTGCCCCTTAATTCAGAAGTCATGTCCAAACAAAATTTTCCGACTGTTTAAATTTTGATAAACAAAAGAGTCCAACAACAATTTAGGCCCTCACGATATACACTGTAGTTTCCCCAACCATAAAAAAATAGAAAGTGGCTGTATGCATTTCAAAGAGAACGTAAAATGTAGTGTAGTTCACATAAAGAAAAAAAGTAAAATAAAATTTTCTACATTAACACTCCAGTAGGATTTATAACTCCATACAGTGCATTTTGGATCAGTTGTAAATTGCATACCTGCAGAACATTTTAAATACTTCGGGGTAAGGCAGTGAAAGGTGAAATGGTGCAAATTCTTGGAAGCATAACAGCTTTGAAGACAATTTATGCGTTGTACATGGAAATAATCATTTAATACCCATAATAATCTCAATAATGCTCAGCATAGCTGTAAAAGAAGACACTGGCCTGAAGTTAAATGTGTTCAACAAAATAAACTTCACTGGATATGGAAGACAAAACAAAAATTCTCAATAGTAACAGTTTACTCAATAAATGACATAAATTTATAATATTCTAGCTTATTGTAGTGTATATCTGAAAGGTTCAAACCCCCACACGTCCAGACTGCATTAGAAAGCACCACTTCTTCATAAGTGCATCTTTCAGAACAGCAATTTAAAAAAAAAATCTATAAAAAAAAATGGAAGCTACTTTAGTACTATTTTTTTTGCTGTTATTAAAGCGACTTGACATTGTCTTTCAGTAACTCATCAGTTGACAGCAGAAAAGACGGCAGCTTTGCTTCTGTCAGACTGCCACAGGGCAGCAGTGGCTACAATGTAGTAGCTAGCCACCATCAGTGTGCGAATGTGTTGTGAATGTAGTGTGAAGCGTCTTGTAGTGTTAAGTTCCTCTGGGCTTGATAAAGCGCTCTACAAGCCATTTAATATTTTAATTTGTTCAGTTTTTAGAAATTTACTAAATGTCAAGCTAAAATAAGTCTGATGCATTGTGTTCAGAATAAACACCAGACTTTAATTTAAATGTATATATTGTAGAATATGCACAAATAGAACTCTAAACACTGCATTAACCCCACGTTTCTAGTGTTTAAGACTTCTATTTTTCTTTTAGTGCTCTCAGGGAAACTTATTTTTGCTCCCAGTTTTTTATAGAGAACTCCAGATATTTACATAACAAAAACTAACCTGCAAATGCAAGATGATTGGCCATCACAGCATCTCGTACAAATAAGCTTTTAAAATCATTTAACAACTTTCAGGCTTTCCGGGGGGGCATTAACCGTCGTATGAGCAGAGACATGACTGCAAATCTGTAGATGTCTGTTGACAAAATACATTTTCTCATGTACATTTTAATGTATATCCCATTAAAAAGAAGAGGGAAAAAATAACTTGTATATTTGTTGATTTTTTGGTAAAGACACCTTGAACGGCATTTACTCAGTCAAGATCCAAGTTTTAATAACGCAGTGCTACAGTGAGAGAGGATTCTTCCTTGAATGTAGATGTGAGACAATGGTGACAGAAAAGAAGAGGGATTCACCCAACTAAGCCAAAATGAGATGATGTCACGGTTTTGCAGATGACAGCAGGTTGGTGAACCAGCTTGTTGCTGATGATGGTTGTTGTCTCTTTTCTTCGTGTCTTTCTCCATCAGGAAGGAGGAACTGAGTAGAAGCTACAGAGGTGGGTGATCCCAGCGAGGGGGCCGGGCTATTTTCATCTCCCTCAGTGGGAGAGTCTAAAAGCCAGGAGTTCTGGGGCTTGTAGCCTCCAGAACCAACATCATGAGGCTGCACAATGGGCTCAGGAGAAGCTAGGTTTCCACCCAGGGCTACTGAGTGCATCTGTGGGTGGTAACCCTGTCCTCTATCCCCGCTGCTTAAAGAGAGACCACTGTGTGATTGGAAGCCCTCAGAGAATCCCTGAGACTCTGAAGGGAAGACCAAAGAAGAGTGGGATGTCTGGATACCTGTGTACGTCACATCAGTGTTGGCTGAATCTACAGAAGACGAGGAGGAAACTGAGGAGTCTGGAAACCGCGGCCTAATGGGGCGCTCATCCACCACCTGGTTGTAGTAACGCAACAGCTGCGGTTCATCCGTGTCTACCGGCTCGTCTCCAATTCCCTCTCCATCATAATCCTCTTCCTCAGGAATGATAACGAGGGTGTCCTTACTAAAATCCCGCTCAGGTTTTTCTATGATATGGACCATACTGTGGGGAAACGGCTTCACGTCCAAAGGTCCCTGAAAGGCACAAATTAGAGACTACAGGGTCAGTTTCGCCTGGATGGTGATTGGTCATTTGTAGATGCGAGTGCAGAAGAGTTGGACTCCTTTAAGGTGGTACTATACCTGTGTCCTGGACCAATCACCAGGCAGCTTGGGCTCAGGGATGTCCGGGTAGAATGCCTTTTTTACCCTGAAACAATTAAACGTCACTTGTTACACTGTGTGACATTTATGGTCATAGATTTAACAGTGTAGAAAATATTAAGATACTAAGAAATGTAGATTTTCACAGTCAACACATTCTTTTCAAGAACACAAAGAACCATGAAAACATTCTTACCATCTTCTTTTCTTGTAGCAAAAACAACTAACAATGGTCAGTAGTAGAGTCACAATTCCCAAAGCAGCCAAAATCTCCAGAATCAGTCCATCCGCTGTTAGGACAAAAACAAAACAAAAAATAAATAAATAAAACCACGAAAGTGGTCACAAAGAATAAAGATTTTCTGATGAAGGCCCTTTTGGAAATATTATGTGTTATCATTCTTGCATGTGTATAGATTATTGATCTTACCATAGCAGTCTTATATTACTATAGATTATTGTGATTTTCATTTAGAAGTGTTGGCCTCTCACTGTCTGTGTTAAAACTTTTGACTGCTGTGTTGAAGACTCTCACACTGATAACAGTCCTCCGCCCTCAGGAGAAATCGCTCCCCAGGCAAAAGACAAGATGACCTTGTGTGTGTAGAACTTGCTGATAACTTGTCTCTTCTGTCTATCCCTCCCTTCTCTGAAAATAAAAGACAAGCTCTAACTGGAAGTTATCAGAACGCGCTGTGGGAAGCTCACTGGAGCAGTCCGCTGCGTCTTGTCCTTTCATGAAAGCTTGGTAAAAACTCACATAAGTTGTCTGTGGTTCATTTTATGTAGGTTGTCGAAAAATACCTATAATTTTGGTGCCATGACCTGGATTCCTACATACTTTTCTGCTGGCAGGCAGAGAGGACGCACTGAAAACCTTGCATGGCCAGAGTCAACAAGACCTGGAAACAAAGACCTGGGAGGCAAAATTCTTCGCTGGGCCAGCGCCTATGTCCGACTTTGTCTGCTAACGGCAGATTGACGAGATTCGACCGGATGATACGAACCAACAGAAACGTAAGTGAGAAAAGTGCTATAATTAGAGGTTGGAGTCCTTGTCAAACGACGTTTTGACTAAAGTCCCAGAGGGTTAGAGTCCCAGTTGACAGAGTTTAACTAATGCCCTTGTTGACAGCATTTTGACTAAAGTTCTACAGAAGGTAAGGTTTCATCTCTTGATGAGGACACCCCATAAGGGAAGATCCTCGCATTGAGAGGAAATTATTTATTGTTGCTGTTTCTTTGCTTTGTCGTTGCCGTTTTGTTGGTTGTGTGTATGTGCATGCAAGTGTGAGTGGTGCTTAATTCTCTGAAAGTAAAACTTTCTGTTCTCAGAACTCTTCAGGAGACACAAAGTGCTCATCTGATCAAAATACCAAGTCATATTAAGTTAAAAATCACATAGTACTAAAATTATGGGAAGATTGTGGTGTTTTTGTTCTTTTTTTCTCACCTAAAGAAACAAAGTAACTATCTAAGGGAAGATAGTGGGTGTTTTGTTTGTTTGTTTTTTTTGCATTTCTACACTTTCAAAGAAAGAAAACAGTTGAGAGATTTCTCACTGAAGTAAAAAACATGGGAACAACGTTTTGCATGCTCAAAAGGGAAATATGCCTTTCCTGAAGGAGGAGAAGCTGAAATATGGTAAAACTAAATAATAAACATTCTCCTCAGAGAACAATGTTTTAATGTATTGTGTCATAATTAGATTATAACATCAACTTGGTGAAATGATCCTTTGGCTGTAAACCTGGAGGGGTCAGCGGTCATAGTAAGGTACCGACCTGGACATTATCCAGCCTCATATCTCTCTTAGGCCTTGAGAGGAGGGCTGCCCGCTGTCTCCACACCTTTCAGCACTGAGATCAACAAATTTAGAGTAATCCATTGTTCTCTGGTGAGACGTGACTCAGACAACATAAACTTACATTCTACACTTTAAAATGTAATATTGTAAAGGATAAAAGAGACTACAGACTTTAACATGTTTCATGTCTATATGTGTTTGAATAAGGAAATGATTTATGACTTCTAAAATGTTGGGTAATAAGTGGCTAAGAACTATACGATCACAAGAAGGAAAAGATATATAGAAAAATACTTATATAAAAACACAGAAAGACAAACAAACCCTAGCTTACTCCTATTTGCTCCTTCCCTTTTCCGCTGTCTGAACCTCGCTGCGGTCCGTCTGACCTCTGACCTCAACTCAGACCTGTCCTGCCGTGGATCAAATGACGCCCCTCCCTCCTCACCAGCCAATCACAGTGATAAAGAAACGGAAAAGTAGAAGGAAGATTTCTACCACCTGGGCACTGAAGGCACTGAAGTGTCCACTGATCCTAATTCCTTGACATCAGGGAACTTCATAGATCATGAAGTATTTGTCTGCATTTAACTCAAACATTCAATTTAGAATTTAATTCTTTAAAGAATCTACAGATTGATTGAAATTGGTTTTGTGTTTCTGTTATTGTCACTTTTCATGTTGGTATGAATGAATATTATTATGAGAACAGACAAACTGTACTCAAGAATTGAGTAACGGATAAGATTATTAACCATTTAATTTTAAAACTCACATTGTCAGCTCGTCTGAAATGCAAGGTTAAATGAAATAAAGTATAAAGTTACTCAAAACTGATGATTGTAAATAAAAGCAACATCTTCTAGACTTCGGTAAAACCTGTAATCTAGATTTGATTGATTGATGATCATTAAATTCATAAAGAAATATTGAATTAGAGGATTTGAGAGACCACTCCCATCGAGCCAGCTGACTGGGTCTACATTAAAGTCATCAAACGAAAGAACTGGGCCAGTCCACGGTGGGAAGGACCGTTCCAGGTGCTGATGACCACACCAACAGCTGTAAAGATTGCTGAAAGACCCAGCTGAATACATCTCAGTCACTGCAAGCTGCAGAGAGTGTTGGAGCACTAATTCAGGGTAGCGGGGAAGGCTGGCTTCACAGGGTTTCCAAACCATAGGGTGGTTCGTCTCAATGCTCGTGAAGAAACCGACAGATCCCTCCCTTCAGTGAAGCTCCCTTTAACAGGAACTGGTGGAACTATTTCTGACGCTCCACATGAGCTGGAGGAACTTAAACATTACGTGGAAAGTGGAACGCATGGATCACATCCTTTTGACTTTTTTTCTTGGCTCAGTTCTGGAAACTGGTGGAACCTACTGTTGAAATTTGGAACACCTATTCTGGGTGTTCTGATCCTTTTTTGCCCGTTTACAAGTTGCATTATTCCATGCCTTTGAGGCATGATGCAAAAGACATTCAACACCGCTGTGATCAGCAATCAGCTGGTGAGAACAACCTCTGACACACATGAGTTCAACTTGTTCGATATGGATGAAGACGCGCTGAAAAGTGGATTATATGACGATGTTCTGTAATCAGTAAACAGACTAAATAATTTGCTGAATGATTCCTACGCTGAGAATGTGAAAACAAGTGGTGTTAGTGATGATAAAAATAACTGCATTTGGTTTTCTGCTATTTCTTATATCTTTTATTTTTCTATTATACATTACATTTCTTTTATGGCATTTTTGTTTCTTGGACTAGGAAAAAAAAAAATATATATATATATATATATATATGTATATATGTATATATATATTGCATTCTTATTGTTCCTTTTCTTTTCTTTCCTTTTCTATTTTTTCTTAGATTTCAAATAGTTCACACGAGTAAAAATGATAAATTGGAGGGAATGTTGGAAATATTATGTGTTATCATTCTTAAATGTGTATAGATTATCGATCTTACCATAGCAGTCTTATATTACTATAGATTATTGTGATTTTCATTTAGAAGTGTTGGCCTCTCACTGTCTGTGTTAAAACTTTTGAAGACTCTCACACTGATAACAGTCCTCCGCCCTCAGGAGAAATCGCTCCCCAGGGAAAAGACGAGGTGACCTTGTGTGTGTAGAACTAGCTGGTAACTTGTCTCTTCTGTCTATCCCTCCCTTCTCTGAAAATAAAAGACGAGCTCTAACCGGAAGTTATCAGAATGCGTGGTGGGCAGCTCGCTGGAGCGGTCTGCTGCGTCTTCTCCTTTCATGAAAGCTTGGTAAAAACTCACATAAGCTGTCTGTGGTTCATTTTACGAAGGTTGTCGAAAAATACCTATCAGGCACACATTATACTTGGACTACACCAAAGCATATTT